CATGTTGTTCTGTAGTTTCTGTTATGTTTTGTAGTTCTTGTTTTGGCTATGCTGATCTTTCAATTTCATGTCAAGTTGATGCATATTTTCTGGTGTATTCTCTTTTTTGCATTTTAGTGAAAGACAAACTGCATTGCAGTTTCTGTGCTTCTTGAATGTTGCTCATTTCACGCCATGTTCTTCTGTAGTTTCTGTTTTATGATATATCTTGTTTTTGAACTGTGCAGTTTCTACTGTGTGAGAGGACAAACATAATACAACCAATCCTGGGCAAGGAGAAAGAAACTCCTGCCATTCTTAAATGGAGTCTTGTGGAACTCCACACAAGATTCAACCAAATAAAGGACTTGAATGACATCGAGGTATGCAATTTATCGCATGTTCTACTTTAATGTATCTTGAATGTGAATCCATGCTAAATCATTCTCATTGTACAGGGTATTTTTAAAACTCCTAAAAAGCGAAAAACTACCAGGGAAGAGGAAGACACTGTTGACAAGGTAATTAAAATCTGTATACAGTGCATTGCAGTTTGTGTTTTCTACATTGCAGTTTGTATTTTATCCAATGCAGTTTTTGAATCATTCAATCTCATTGTACAGGGTATTTTGAAAGCATATAAAAGGAGAAAAACTACTAGAGAAGAGGGAGTCCCTCTTGACAAGGTATAAGAATCTCTAAACAAAGAATTATGCATTGCGGTTTCCATTTCCTCCAATGCAGTGCAGTTTCTAATTAGTTTCCGTTCAATATGCAGAAAAAAGAAAAAGAAGATGAAGGACAACAAAGAGAAGCAGAGGAAGCAGAAGACCAAGGAAAACCTGATAATGCTGATCAAACTCCAGAATTAAAAGAGGATGGAAAGAAGAAAATGTTTGAGAATGAAGCTGGAAATGAACCTCTTGCAATTCAAGACCTCTTGGTGAAGTCCATGACAGACGAAATCAACTGTCGCCAACGTCAAGATCCTACCTTCATTTGCCCAGAAAGATTACAACTGTGGAAGGATGAAATAAATGAAGACAGTGAGAAGAAAATGAAGGAATTGTGGGATATATTTATCCAAGGAGAAAAGAGATCAAAGGAGTTGGAAGCGAAGTTGGCAACATACGTAGAGAAATTAGATAATGAAGAATATTTGACTGCCACCATGACAGTGGAATCTACAGTTCAGCTTCAGGAAATACAAAATCTAAAACGGAGGATTGCATAATTGGAAGGCAAGGAAACTTGTATTGACAAGGAGAAGATTGCCAAGAAAAAGGAGATTGAAGAAAAGTACAAGGTAGAAATTGAAAGCTTGTTCTCAGACCCAACAGTCTTTGAAATGGAGATGGATCTGCCTACAACACAACCAACACAACCAGTTGAAGAGCAAGAAGAAGAAGAGGAAGAGAAAGAAGAAGACAAGAAAGAAGAAGAGAAGCAACAAGAAGAGAAAGAAGAAGAGAAGAAGCAAGATGCTCCAACACCTGATGTTCCTTCAAGAGTACTAAGGCTGAAGAATAGAGAAAGAAAGAGGTTTCAAGCATCTTGCTATGTGTACTAAAAAAATAAGAAACCAAAAAAGAAGGCAG